GCCTGGAAAGCGCGCCATGTGGACCGAAGAGTTTGTCGCGCATGTGCGCGCAAGCAACGCGGTTGGTGGCAGCGCCACACTTGTTACGTACGTAAAGAACCCTCCCAGTTTAGCGCGTGGCTGGCCAAACGAACTGCGGGGCAGGATGGCCGGCAAATTTGTAACGGTTGCAAAGCTTTGCAAGTGGCCTGTCGCTATGCCGGCCGCGCCAATCATAGACTCGCGCGCCTCCGCGCCCGCGCCGCACAGAACCGTGTCCACGATCGATTGCCGGCGCTCCCCGCCGATGCTACGGCCAGCGGGTCCGAGCTCGAGCGTCGCCGGAGGCTGGTGGCGGAGACATGGGCCGAGATTACGGCGAGACAAGGAGAAACAACAGAAAGGACGCAAAAGAAACGCAAGACGGAGACGCCGGCCAGCGACGAGAAGTTGTACCGTGAAGTCCAAGCAAAGAAACAGCATGAGTACGCATGCCCGCATTGTGGTGGCCTGGTCGCAAGCAATGTCACGACGGGACAAATTGATCACCGGACAGTGTGCGGCAACCGGTTTAACGTCAGTGATGGAAGAGTCAAAGAACAGCAAAAGCATAAGTACACATGCCCGCATTGTGAGGGCCTGGTCGCCAGCAATGTCCTGACGGGACAAATTGATCACCGGACAGTGTGCGGCAACCGGTTTAACGTCAGTGATGGAAGAGTCAAAGAACAGCGAAAGCATGAGTACATGCCCGCATTGTGGGGGCCTGGTCGCCAGCAATGTCATGACGGGACAAATTGATCACTGGACAGTGTGCGGCAACCGGTTTTGCGTCAGGAATGGAACAGTCCAAGAAAAGAAAAAGCATCAGTACACATGCCCGCATTGTTGTGGCCTGGTCGCAAGCAATCTCACGACGGGACAAATTGATCACCGGACAGTGTGCGGCAACCGGTTTTACGTCACCGCTGGAAAGGTGAAAGACCAAAAGAAGCACGCGCAGAAGACGAGAGGCAAGAAATAGCCCAGAGGGACCGTTGCGGACCACGAGAAAAAGGGACATAGTGTGCCAAAGCCCAGCAAGTGGCAAGAGCCCATGCACAGTCTAGCAAGTGCGAGGTATTGGGGCGTCTCCAGCGTCCAGAAGCTGCCTGCTCCAACGGCCAGTATGGCAGAACCAGTGGCAAGTTTCGAGGGGTTTGAGGGATTTGAGGGGTTTGAGGGGTTTGAAGGGCAGGCCCCGATGTCTAACGTCGCTCTTGGATCCCGTAAAAAAACACATTTTGAAGCAGCCTCGAGCAAGCCCCTTCTGGCAAGTTTCGAGGCTTTTGGGGGATTTGAGGGGTTTGAGGGGTTTGAAGGGCAGGCCCCGATGTCTAACGTCGCTTTTGGATCCCGTAAAAAAAACACATTTTGATGAGGGATTTGAGGGGTTTGCGGGGTTTGACGGGCAGGCCCTGATGTCTCACGTCGCTTTCGGATCCTTTAAAAAAACATTTTGGAGCAGCCTCGAGCAAGCCCCTTCTGGCAAGT